GTATCATAGAAATGATATTTACCCGTTTCCAGCCTCTACCCAAAAAGTTTAAGCTCATCCTTATTTTAGCTCTTTTTGAAATCTGCCCCCTGACTATTTGGCGAATAAGCCACTTTGTAGTTATGTCATCGGGTCATAGGTCATTTGTACATAGCTGAAAAGTTGGATCGGGCGTTCGCTCGTACGCGCTTGCCGTATACTACATAATATGCATTAATTTTATACAGAAGCTATGTAAAATCGTGCGTGCATTTGTTTTCTGTACTGAACCGATCGACTATCTGCCTGTGCTTTTTGTTTTTTTGGATTTTTACGTGTGTGCCAATTCGGTTGAATGTTATTGATCGCGGCTACCAGATATTGAAATATATCATATATCGCATGTATCTTTTATAATACAATATTCTAAAAGCTATGTAACAGTATTACTATTAGTATTAGACATGCTTATGTTCGGTTTAGGTTAGATTTACTGTCACCAAGCTGTAAAGTAACCAAAGTAAACACAAAAATAAAATCATTTCATCAATGTTTGCAAATTTTATTTAAAATTTGTCAAAAAAAATTAAAACATGTTTTCTTGATAATCGATTATATATTTTCATAATCGAGCGCTTAGTCGGATGCTGCGAACGATTGGCTTTCGATTATAATCGATCATCGGGGCATCACTACTAATCTAGCACGTGTGACAGCGAGGCTCTTGGGTAGCATCACGCCCCAGACTCTGGGCTTGAATTTTACCCACGGTATCGACAGAAACTGCCGTGCTTGCCCTCCCTGCTTGCCGTGGTACCAGGAGTCTATCAATAGATCAATTGATAGACTCCTGGTGGTAATGACAACCAAATGACAATGTAATGACAACCAAATGACAATGTAATGACAAACCGTCCCTGTTCACAGGACGACATCCAAGGCAATAAACCACCGCTGGCTTTATTGTACCAGGTATGCCGCCGTGTGCAACTCCCCTTACGTTTCATGTACGTGTGTGTCTTTATCCCCAAGCACAAATGTTGGAAAGGGGACGGTTTGCCCTGCTGACACCGTGCAGCTTTTGCAAGCGCCTCCCCACGCGCCACCCCCACCGCGCGCCCCGCGCATTTAACTTGTCGTGGCACCCAAAAATTTTCTGTTAAACCCATGGCAGCACGTCAGTTTCCGCCCGAAAGCATATCTCAAATACGACGCCCAGACAGTTCGCTTTATCGCATGTGGAAGTGGAGGCCTGTACGCGTCCTACGGGACCGCAGATCCCACTTGCTAGCTATGATCTAATGAGCTCCATCAACTCATTGAGCTGTAATAAGTGCAGTGATGCAGCTGATTTGGCTCGCGACGCGACTTATCGACTGACCGTAGGCCCCCCCTCTACTCCTCTCTCTCTCTCTCTTCTCTCTCTCTCTCTCTTGCTCATCGTCTCGTCTCTCTCTCTCTCTCTCTCTCATCTCTCTCTCTCTCTTCTCTCTCCCCTCTTCAATCTCTC